TTAGCCTGTGTAGCCGCTCCACTTCGAAACGCTGCTGCTCCGATTTCCTGTGGAAGGACTGAAGGCTCTGCCGGCGCCTGGCCTCCGAGTAAGTGTAGTCCTAGACAAGGAGCACAGGCAGAGATGCTCACCCTGCGAGACTGCTCTGACGGGAGGCAGCCCTGAGCCAGGGAGCAAGGCCACCAGAGAGCCGTAACCGACACCAGGGGAACCGCGGTCTCCTTGGAGATGGGCAGCACTGTGCTCAGACAGGAGCCAGGGAGGAGTTACCGAGGGAGAGCAGGGAAGGGGCCCTCGGCCAGACAGCCGGGAGACAGCCAAGGGGCCTGGTGTTGGCAACGCTGACGCTGGTCACAGCCGAGGAATGTGGCTGGCTCCCCCAGCAGAGGGGGCCGCCTCCCGATTTCTCCTGGGTACGGCTGCTGTGCGCGCTGTCCGCAGCCAGTTTGTGAAAAGCAGTGAAACGCCAACCAGCTTGTAGCAGGACTCAGGCATGACGGGCTTCACTGCTTGTGGCCGGCGTCTGCCAGATGCCCTGGGCCCTCAGCCTCCCTCACGCTCGCTCACCTGCCGAGTGACCAGGAAGTATGCAAAGAAGACCATGGAGTTCGCGAAGGTGGCGAAGTACGTGACGGGCTCCATGACGTCCCAGGAGTACACCCACCACGTGAGCCAGGCCATGGCACCACCCTGCACGGACAGCAGGGCCAGCCCAGCCCACAGCAGCCTGCCGGTCTGGGCTTCCGAGCGAGCTTCGATCCTCGCCTTCACCTGGGAGGGGTGGACATTAGTTCAGCTCCTGGTCGCACCAGCTTTCGAGAACAGGCGGGGAGGGGTCTGAACTGACGCCCACCTGCAGTACCTGATGGAGGTCAGGTGTGGGGGAAACGATTTATACTGGCACATCAGTGAATGAATTACTCGTTCCCATCAGGTCATTAGCAAACAAACACTTTTAAGCCACAAACGCGATGCCCGTGAAGTACGAAGCCCGGGGCTGCGATCTGTGCGCGAGACGCACTAGGACACGTTCTTTCTACCTCTCTTTAGATATCTCTTCCAACGACGAGGCAGGCCAGTACCCCCAGGAGTACCCACGGCCGACCTGGGCCTCAGCCAGCCCCGGGTCAGGGCCTCGTGCCTCCCATGCTCAGGTGCTCTCCCGACCCTCCCCATGTGTGTCATGGTCCGGCCCGAGTCATTCCTTAGGCGAAGGCCAGAACTGCTCCCTAAGTCCTGATGGAGGTGCGCAGTTACGAGGGAGCCCTGTGCCAATGGAGAGCTTTCTAGAACACACCGCTAATGACGAGGAGGGAATGACGCTTAGTATCACGTCCCCTCTTCTGGAAAGGACAGGATAACACGTGTTTATCTGTTCGTAGAAAAAGGGACTCAGGAATGACGCGGGCGCGGGCCGCAGTGATGGAGGACAGCAACGACTTCCCACTGTGCCCTTTTCAGAGTTTAAATTTTTTGTGCACATGAATACACTAGCAGTTTCTTAAAAAGTAAAGAAAAAATGGGACCAGCAGTTAGCGTAATGGCTATGTCGCTGGACTCCCACGTAGTCGACCACGGTTCGAGTCCCAGACCCGGTGGTTTAAAACTCATGCCGGGCGCGTGTGCGTGCGTGCCCAAGATCCCGAGAGGAGAATGGAGAAGGGATTGCGGCGTGACCATCCCCCTGGGGGGTGATTTCTCACTTTCTGTCTCTCTGTCTGTCTGGCGAGCGCATGCGCCCTATAGCA